AGTGTTCCATCTCATTTCCCTTTGGGGTTGCTGTAGGTGATCCAGAAGTCTGTTTTTGAGACTTGTTTATGTATCTTCTCATTTCCATGGGAGGGGGTGCTTCTGGCGCCCACGAGGCTCACCTTCTGTGCCCTAGGAGCTTAGGATGGCAGTGGGGGAGCTTCCTTCCAGGTTCTGGGACCGGCTGAGCTTCTCTGCCCTAGGAGCCTGGGATGGAGGCGGGGAGCTTCCTTCTGGGTGCTGGGACCAGCTGAGCTTCACTGCCCTAGGAGCCTGGGATGGAGGCGGGGAGCTTCCTTCTGGGTGCTGGGACCGGCTCCCAAGACTTTTAAACAATACTCCCCAAGTGACTAAAGCTAGTTTTGATTAACATAAAGAAAGACACTTCTTAGGAGAGAGAGAAAAAACTAGAGCTAAAGCCTGGCCTGTTGGTTTATACATGCTAAGTGTGGACAAGATCATGCATGTCTATTTATGCCCTAAACCATTTTAAAACTACCTAAAAAGATGTTTTGCTAATCCAACAGCCATGCATGGTGGTGCACCTCTAGTCCCAGCTATAGCCAAGACCAAGGTGGGAGATCACTTGAGCTTACAAGTTCAAGATCAGACTCCTCCGCAATTTAGTGAGATCCTGGGGACAAACTAAGGAAAGGAGGCAGGGAGGGAGAAAGGAAGTTTCCCCAATCCAGAATTTTTATAAATGAGTAGAGGAAATATATTCATAAAACTTTTCATATTTTTCTACTTATAATTTCTACTTTTAAGAGATTCTAACATTTAGGTCTTTTGGTAAGCATAAGTCAATACAAGTCACTGATAACTGATAAGAATCATAGAAGCCTCATTTAGTTCTATCAAAGGCATTATTTTTAAAATGTGGCTTTTTATTACCTTGTGAGGAAACTAACACCAAAATAAATGCATTCTGCAAAGAACTCCTACCCTCTCTGAATTTGAAAGGCAATGCATTAACAGATCAGTTCAGACGAAAGCCATGAATGAGAAAAGTAGATCTTTATGTACAAAGCAGTCAGTTGACACACATGTGGAATACATACAATGCAATGTTCCTCATTGGGAAATACCTTCTTAATGCTTATATCAATAATCTATTTTCATTGTTTCAAATTCTTACCTATCATACTCCGTGATTTCACCACTCTGTAGCAGCAATAAAGTGTTAAAAGCCCCATTAGCACGATAACACACATTCCAGTAGTAAATCCAGCCTATTTAAAAATAAAAATATAGAACAACATATACCATCATATAAGAATAAATCTATGTGCAAGTACATTGTTACCCTAAGTAAACATGCTAAGAACCTGACAATTAAT